TGTGTGTGTGTGTTTGTGTAATATTAATATATAGTAATATGTATAGAAAATATTAATTAATCAGTTTTAACTTGTCTTGGCCTTCAATAAAACTAAAATCTAGGTAGGTTTTGTCATACTGTCTAATCTTTTTCTTCGCCTCTGAAGAATCACTGCATTTACGTTTGTCTGCCATTTTTGTTTTGATTTTGCCTTTACGACACGTTGACAAGCAGATTGCGCGAGTGAGCAAAATTTAAATAATTATTTAAAGTTATTTATTTTAATTATTTTCACTATTATGTTGGAATTTTAAGTATGTGTTTAGATTTTTTTTTTGGTACTTAAAAATACATATATAATAGTAGGGCTACTCGATTTTGGGAAAAATCATAATCACGATTATTTTGGTCATAATTGTAATCACAATTATTCAAAACCATTGCCAGTTAAAGTCAAAATTATTAGCGCTTCTGAGATTTTTTTTTTTTTTTTTTTATAAATATTTCCCAAATTATGCTTAACAGAGCAAGGAATTTTAACAGTATTTCCTATAATATTTTTTCTTCTATTTGTTTTATTTTAGCTTGAATAAAGAAAGGTTTAAATATTTTGAAACCAATTTAAGGTCAATATTATTAGCCCCCTTAAGCAATATATATTTTTGATTGTCTGCAGAATAAACTACCGTTATAATGACTTGCCTTATTACTCTAATTAAGCCTTTGAACTGCACTTTAATCTGAATGCTTGTATTTTGAAAAATATCTAGTAAAATATTATGTGCTGTCATTATAGCAAAGACAAAAAGAAATCTCAGTAATTAGAAATGAGATATCAAAACTATTATGTTCAGAAATAAGTTAATAAAATATTCTTTCCATGAAACAGAAATTGGGCAGGAAAAGGTTTGCTAATATTCAAGAGGGCTAATAATTCTGACTTCAACTGTATACATACAGTTATTTTCCACCCTGCAAAGGAAAGAGAAATAAATACAATAGAATAAAATAAAAATATGAAACAAACTGTGCTTTAAGCATCTTCACTGTAACAAAAACACTTTAGCTACAGCAGTCCTTCAGTCAAGACCAGCGAGGGTTTTCTTGTTATGTTTTTTTTAATAATGATAAAAACAGGCGGCAGAAGGATTATAGCGCGCTGTATCTTTAATGGTTTCTCTTTCACGTCTTTTGATCCTCAACTCGTTTGTTTATTACACAAATGAGGGTTAATGTTAATAATCACTAAACACCGCGTTTTGACACCTATTTGACCATTAAATCGCTCACGTTAAGATGACTTTAGATGTCTGCGCTCCTCTGCTCGTCTCAGTGTGTGAATGAGAGTGAATGACCGGCCGCATGCTTCTGACTGCGTGATCGTGCTGCGCACACACATAAGCTCTTTCGCGCTTTTAAGAGCAACACGTGTACAACTTGAACGTGGCAAAATATGATGCAATAACCATTTATCTCGATTAATGCTTTTTTATAATCCTTTGAAACCGAAATCTAAATCGGATTTTCGATTAATTGCAAAGTCCTTTATAATAGTGGAGCATTTTTATGCCTTTTTCTACCTCAATACTTATCCTCTCCCGCGCCCCCCCTGTGAACTCTGGCGCCCCCCTTAGGGGGGCGCGGACCCCAGGTTGGGAACCACTGGCTTATTTTATTACGAAATTACCATTAAATGTAATAAATCTGTCCATAAAATAAAAAATATTAAAATTATATTAAGTTTTTAATTGATAAGTATGTTAATTAAGCTAATTATCAACGTACAGAATAACTATTACAATATATATCAAAATTTTCATTTAAACAGTTTATTAATCATTTGATTGCTCGTTATGAATGATCTTCACCACCAACTATTCTTAAATAACTGCTTTGTAAATAATGCAGTGATTAATTTAGAGATGAAAAATCAATTATTAGTGAAGTATGTACGAAGTCATTAAGCACATTATGTGTGCATTTACAAGTCAAGCATACAGCATCTGTAGCTGTATTTATACTGCTTACTAATGTAAACTAATGTCAAGATTACGCTTAAATGATTAAATAATTATGTTCTAATGCTTAATAAATGATTCATAGTGTGCAGTTATTATAAAGTGTTAACATTTAATCTTCATTTTTCATTGTGTGCTGTTCCTAAAGCTTAAACAGAATCTCACTGTCCTAAATCATGAGTTCTTGATAAAAGTTAATGCATTTTTTTAAAAAGCATCTGTCAAACACATGTAAATACAGTGTTCAGCATAAACGAGTTCACCCTCACTGATCTCTCTTTACATTCACATTTTCTCCAGGATGCTTTACAGTAATATATGTGTGCAGATCAGTACAAAAGACAAAACTGATCAACTAGTCTAACAAAAACACGGAAGATCACAGTCCAAACATTGTACACAGACATTAGCATGAAGGGGGGAAATCTGAAATAAAATTTGATTAAACAGGAAAGGTCAAGACAAACAACTATAGTGATAATTATTAATAGTAAAATACATTTTTTTGTAATAACTGGTTTGCACCACCTGTACACATGTAAATGTATGATCTTTCTGTCCCTTAAGCTGTTCAGTGACCACACTCTTATTTTAATGGATAGAACTGTTAAATAAAAATGTTTTGATTTATTGCACCAAACATTGTCTATATTCACTGAGAAATGGATTAAATTTTGATTTTGAAAAGCAGATGAACTCGTTTATACTCAGCACTGCACCCTTAGAGGGCAACTGAGAAACTTGTATAACAAAATGCATATTTTATGGGTCCGTGCAGCTGGTCAGAGTGACCTGCTGAAATCACATTTATAATAGAAGCTTTAAACACTCATTGCACAAAACGCATGCTAATTATCTGAAATCATTTTAAAACTGCTATTAAAAATTGATCAGGATCAAATTAACAACTTTTTAAGATGAAATTATTTCTTTACTGCTTTTTATTATCATGTTTTAACTAAGGAAAAAAAAGTCTTATTTTTCCCCCCTAACATTGCTCTAAAGACTAAACATTAGAACAATTAAAACCTTGGAATTTAGGTGAACTATCTCTAAATAGCTTTCTCCTTTCTAAGCAGTAGTTGCACATGCACAAAAGGGTAAGATTTCTAATGATCTAGAATTTCTTTATTGTTTGTTGTTGTTTTTTAACAAAATTAAAAAACGTGTAACATATAAGTAGATTTGAGTCATTTAAGGGCCATGTAACCCCCCTGTTTCAGCAGGGTGTTATTACACCTCTAGTTTAGAAAAAGTCAGGAAAGTGTGTTAGTCCAGCTCTGTCTGGGTGAGTGACGGGGAGGGCAAGAGGGAAGGTGCATAAAAATTTGCATAAAAATGGGAGTTTCCGTCTGGGCACACGCTGATTTACGCAGAGGCAAAACAAACACACAGACGCAGGGGTGAAAGACATTGACTGTGTTTAAATGGACATCAGTAATCAAATTGTTTGCCAAATTATTAAATGGTAGACTGGTACTGCAGTTCGGCACTTTCCCTATTCATTCAGGAGCATTTCCTGCATGCCTCATGACAAACCAGATATTTGATTGGAGGAGCTGCTGAAAGTGTGTATTATTGGAGTGTTAGATATCGCACGGTGAATGGGAGAAAAAAAACTCTCCACATTTCTCGGTAACTTGGATGCACTTGGTAGGTAGCGTCAAAAAGCCGTGTGTATAGACTATCCTGTCACAAAATACGGTGAAGATCCTCCACGACGGTAATATTTTGATTACAGTGTTTACACTTGGAGAGCTGCATTTACAGCGGATCCTTGAGCCCATAATATGTAGTGATCTTAACGTACTGTAAACTGAGTTACTCAGTCATTTAGACTAAGGTTTATCTTAAAACACTGAAAGAGTTCTGCTGACCATACCAACTTACTTTACCTCTGAATAAAGAAACAAAGACACTGATCACACACTGACCAAACCTGTAGAGACGGGACAATCAACATCAACACCAACTGGAGCCACATCTTTATTAAGAGGAGACAAACAGCAAATCCGGATTTCACTATTTCCAGATGTGAAAAGCTCTAAAACATGTTCCTTACAAACGTATTCCTGTCGCATGTTAGCAGATCACTGTAATCCACACGTGAGTCCAGCTGCGCTCTCATCACGAGAAATGAAAACAAAACCTTCACTGCAGCACATTTATAAACACTCTGACGACCCGTGTGTCGAATAATTCTTCTTCTTTCACTTGTTTTGGCAACACAACGTGGCATCTATCCGCCGTCTGAACACTGTAACAGGTAAAAACAGTCTTCAAAGCGATCATTCATATTAATGAAGCTGCAAATCATTAACAATAGAGTGCTCTAATTGGTTTGCACCAAGACTTTTTCATGAATTAATGCTGGATACATAAACGCATCACAATGCACTCACAGGTACAGACATCCACTCTCCACACTGGAAAACACGCAAGTATCTAATCGACATGACGCAGCTTAAATCGTTTTAAACCGGAAGAACGAATTTGCTGGAAATAACGCAAAAACAACCAATTTTCACTTTTTAGTGAGATATATGTGTCCTAATAGTGTTTATAGCACCATGAAACATATATATGACTGTCAACAGCTCAAAATGTGTTCTGTTGTTTCGTGACCCTTTAAACTCAAATATAATTTCAGGAATTGCCATATTAATTCAAAACCAACCATATTGATTTTCACATTGCTAGTTTTCTGGTGAAAAAAGTTTTGCCCTTCTAATCTTTAACTATAATATGACAATCCTGTTTGTTTTCAGTTAAATTGTCATATTAGATCTGTCTGAGGTATAGGGCGTGGCTAACATACTTAACCACGCCCCCTCCTGCTGTCAGTTTTGACAACAAACAATAATGGTGATGAGGAGGATTCTGTTAGGTTGTAATAACTCTCCCCAAACTCTTTTCCATATCTTTCTGAATGACACGCCTACTCAACTACATTCAATCAGCTCACAGTAAAAAAAACAAGCCACGCCTACTGTTTACTCATTTAATATTCCATTTCTCTAGAAACTACTTCACAATATGTAAAGAAAATGGTCACAGCTTTCAGTTCATGTGTACTTTTAAATTTCCTTAACTACAATGTACTTCCATAAAATAAGTACAGTGTACTTACTGTGTTGGGGATAGGTTTGGTTGTAGGGTGGGTGAAGGTGTAAGTGATGGTGAACAGTGTAAATAATAAATACACATACACAATTTAATTAAAGCTGTCCATGCAGATCATTTTAATAGACATGTATGTACATAATAAGTGCTTTGTGCCAAGTTTTTGTGTTTTTTTTGTGTATACTATTTGTGTTATTTTAAATTAAATAGAAGTACATAGTAATTAGGGCTACTTAATATAAAGTGAGACAGAAAATTCTTGCAATCTTCGTAACTTATTTCTAAAGGAGATTGTTTGGTGAATCCTGGATGTTGTTATTTAGATCGGCCGGTCCACCGAGAGCCCCATAGACTTCGTGGTGACAGACACTCCAGGAGGATCCAAGGAGAGCGAAGACTCCTCATCAGCTCCCAGCACCATCTCCCGCTTCGCCTGCAGGGTCGTCTGCGAACGCAACCCGCCGTACACCGCTCGCATCTATGCTGCCGGCTTTGACTCCTCTAAAAACATCTTCCTGGGGGTGCGTATCTAAATACTAAAATGTTGCTTATTAACGGTAACTTTGCTATTAACAGTAACAGAGTTGACTTTTTCCATCATGTTGTGCTTTAGCTCCAGATGCTAACCTCACACCAGACTCCACATGGCAAGTCGAAAATGATGCATTTTGATCATATCATTGTTTTTATAAAGTGAATCGACTAAAATATACTAGTAACAGAGTTGCTCCATGCAATTTCATCAATCAGCACACAGCACAGTTTATCTGTAGCTGGTAACATACCAGAGACTGTGGGGGGCTGTATGTGTTCATATATGTTATTTATTTGTTTATATAATTGCAGACGTTACAGTATTGCAGACGTTACAGTTATGAACTAGGGATGCTCATTTCGGTTAATTTTGCTAACCGACAACCGCCGCGCATTAATCGGTTATTAACGGTTAACTGGTCAGATTACTATTAATTTTATATTAAACAAATTGACGTGTCTATTTTGTGTCCGACAAATTAAATATTGCATTTTAAAATACTGATTTATTTTTATATGCTAGCATATTAACAATAGAACATAACAACAGAGCATTTTCACGCACCTGCAGTGTTTAGCACAGAAGAGCAGAATAATCGAAATAAAATAAATAGGACTGCCCTAAATTATTTTCCATTTAAATAATTAATTTATAATACAAATCGAAAACACTGACTGATTATTTTTAATAACCGGCATAGGCTGTTTTTTTTCCAATCATATTTTTTTCTTCCGTCAAATAAAATAGCAGACTTCCTCAAATCGCTCGCTCCATGAAAAATATGCATTTATTTAATGCCCCGCTGTTATTATTATAATCACAAAACCTTTTTACATTTTTAATAGAAATCATTATTTTAAAGAATATGTCCTGGTTTCCTTTCTCTCCCTCGCGGATCAAGTGCGCACTGCGTAATGAAAAAACAAAAACAACGCGCGCATATGTTGACTTTTTGTAAACAGTTTTGTTGTTTAAATATGATATTGCATTAATGTGCATACATGCTTTATATGCTGTAAAAGAAAAGGTAAAGCCTATTTGTTGCGTTTATGATGCAGATCCAGGTCAACATCAGCGCTTTTTTTGGCATCAACACGTCTGTTTCAAGCAATATTCTTCTTCCATTTTGCTTCTTTGGCAAATGTGTCTGTAGGCACGGGTTATACGTTATCGTCCTGCAAGTTAAGTATGTCTTGCAGTTGAACAAGTGGCCGACCACAGCTAACGTGCTTTTTTTCACTCCAAAAACGCGAGGCGCACCTCACTGCCTTTATGTTGACAAGGAAAAAAGAAGAGAAGAAGCGCGGTGCTCTTATGAAACGACTGAATCAGCTGGGTATCGATTGTGCAAAAGTGTTGCTGTCTGTGTTGATAAAATTGTAATATTTAATAATATTATGATATTCAAGATTTGTACATTCATACAGCTCTGGATAACTTAAAACAGCGATTAGACCTTCAGAGCGGCATTAATGCGTCCTGAAGTAAAGCGAAACAGCTATAAACTCCAGCAAGATAGAGTGATTATATACAGAGTCATACTTTATCTATAAATAAAGTATAACTATAGAAACTGTGTTCATCTTAACTGAAAGCTTCTGCGTGTTTGTTGGCCTCACGCATCGCGCACCTGTCAGTCAGCACGTAACCCCAAAGGATTAAACAATAGCGCACAGCACTATACGGTTAAAGAAAAGTTTGCGCTGTTATAATCCACTTACCTTTTAATACGTTTTAATGCGATTATAATGCGCTATTAAAAACAACAACAACAATAACTGAATGTTTTGAATGGGTAATGCAGCCGTGGCGGGATGCATTTGGAAGAATGAATGTAGCGGAAACCAAGCTCTTAAAAGTTCTCTGTAGTTGTCTTGACAACACAAACTGCTGCTCTGGGAATGCCATTCTTAACGCAAAGGCGCATTCAATCGGCCCCTTATGCAGCCAAACTAAAATATATAAAATAATCATTTTAATCGTTTAACTGACAGCATTAATCTGTCACAAACACATCCTTTCGGTTAACGGTTAATCGATTATTTTGAGCATCCCTTTTATGAACAATTATACAGTATTTATGTGTGTAAAGCATGTGTTTTGTGAGAAGTGCTGCTCATATGTTATGTGAACAACGCATACAGCTTTACTGTAGACATATCCTTGAGCGAGAATGACGGCGACTGAAGCTTTCTTTCTTACATCACACTCACCAAAAGGGTACCAATGGTACCTGTTGGCAGTGGAAACACAAGCCTGATAAAGATGACCCGTCCCGTGTCCTAAAACAAATCTGTTTTTTATAACCAAAAATACAAATAATACAGAAAATGGATCATGCAGATTTTTATTTATTTGCATTTATCAAACTGACTTATAATACTCGATGAGACTTTACATAACTTAAATGAGTTCAAGTGTGACTAATGTATTAAAATAAGTAACATGAAAACATTTGTTTGTCATATACATTTGGAAATGTATAATTAGACTTATGTAATGTAATGTGCATGCAGGAGAAAGCGACCAAATGGAAGAATCCGGATGGTCACATGGACGGCCTCACAACCAATGGGGTGCTGGTGATGCATCCGCTGGGCTTCCCGGAAGAGCCCAAGCAGGGTCTGTGGAGGGAGATCTCGGTGTGTGGAGACGTGTACGCCCTCAGAGAGACACGCTCCGGCCCCATCCGTGGACAGCTGGTAAGTATCAGCCCTGCTCTCTTCATCTCTGTTTTAAAATGTGTATTTGGTTGTTCTGTGCGGCTCGAGAGCACCCTCTGGAGTTTTACTGCTGATCACATCACTGTACTTTCCACACATAATGTTTTTTTATACTGTAAAACATCAGTCCTTTCACAGCATACACCTCTTTTACAATATCATGCCATCCATCTACCGATAGAGGATCTTCCATTTATTTTTATTCGTTCACAGTATTGTATTAAGGAGGTATTTAGCTTTTCTCTGGGTATTTTTGAAGAATAAATTCACAGGTACATAGTTTTAAAGTTACAATCCAGATTCAATTCTGTTATTGCATGCATCTCTATATTTAGATCTTGCCAATAGGTGTGAATGATATTACATCCCAAAAGATGTGAAAATATTCAGCCGTTACGTTTCTGCATTTTTCTCCAGCTTTCTGATTTCTAGTTTGAAAATATTATTTTATTTTCGGTGATGTGAAAAACTTCATTACATTTTTACAAATAAAATCTCTCCAGCTGAGTAAATATTTGATGTGATCTCATGTCATGTTGTACAGTTGCTGTATTGAGATGCCAGTATTGCAACGGGTCAAATGAGCACTGTATTTCTTCAAAAGCAGGTCGTGAAGACATTTTAATAAGCCTTGATCAAAAATAGTCATATCACACACACTAGTGCTGTAAAATATATGGTTTCAGCATCGATGTCAGTGTGGTCATTCACTGTAGTCACATCGCAAGATCTGCAATGTTGAGCCTGCATTATAAATGAATCATTTCCAAGTGTTTCCTGAAGCCTGTGACTGTATGATGATTTCACAAGCCCTGTTATTATACCATTTGTAACTTTTAATAATGATTAATTTTATTTAATAATTCATACAATTAAGACTATGCAGTATTATTCTACACTTGATTATTTATTTACTTTATACCTGATTTAGGGTTGGGTGAATAGGCAGAGTGGTCTTTGGCGTTGTTAAACTTAGTTGGTAAACAGGTGCACAACCAACAGCAACCAACCAACAGGATCAGAAGTTTAACTAAAATGACTAAGCACAAGCGTGAAAGAGAAAGACTGAAGCAGTGTACTGATGCTGTGACAAGTTACCTGATATATTCTAAAGAGCAAAGAGTCGTTAAATAGAGAACAGATTCATTAAAGATCACCTTTAACAACTGTAGTGAGACGCCATCCAGCGGTACATCCTTGATAAACTGTGTGATGTGCACTGCTCTCTGGGGTTTAGGTCTCTATCACCTGCTGACTGCTGGAGTTCAGACGCGTGTGTGTGTGTGTGTGTGTGTGTGTGTGTGTGTGTGTGTGTGTGTGTGTGTGTGTGTGTGTGTGTGGTCACATGATCTGCATTTTCAGTGGTATAATGCTAGATGAAATGCCAGTGTGGACGTGGATAGTTTTAAAAATGGCATTTTAGAATGAAAACAAAGCTGTATCAGTGTAAACGGGGCCTGAGTGTGTGTTTTTTTCACGAGCGGGTTGCTACTGCGACAGGGGCGGTAGAGGATCGTGATGCCGGCTCAGCATCGTGATGTCTATCGGACATCAGCAATAGACGATGACATCGTCTATTGGCCCAACCCTAACCTGAATACAGCTGGATTCCTGAGAATGCAATACAACACTGTTCATTTCATTTGTTGCTTTTTTATTGATTTATCTATGCTTGTAGATTGTCAACTATAGTTCATACAGATGCACTTCTTACTGAAACATCCCAATCTCTCTAAAATTATACGTTATTTCCAATTAGAGATATTCAAGTCATCTGGTGTAATTGTGTTCATATCACAATTTCTATTGCAGAAAAACAAAATGTTGAAATGTTAGATTTTCCCAATATCGCACACCCTTGCTGGGTGTATTTTACTAGCTTTTTCTAATCTGATGGATCGTAACTGTGAAGTCAAGTCATATGTTGACCCCTTAAACACATCTGCACCACATTATGAAGCACAATCGCTCTTAATTACTTTGTAAAGCAACAAGGAGGTGCTGATGGGCCGCGCTTCAGCAGGAGCAGCTCTTAATGAGATTTACAGCAGCGGTGAAGCTCTCTGAATGATGGATAATCTGCAGCCGCCGCTGATTTATTCGGCTGTTTGTATCCAGTGTTTCCTTTACTGCAGGAGTCATTAGAGCGGTGGGTCTCTCTCTGAAAAGGAAATATTTAGAAGAAATTACTTTCCCTGAAATCAAACCAGTTTTTTTTCACTATATGATGCAGTTCTGTGACTGAACGTTCATTTATTACGCTTTATACAGACTGCCTGACTGTGTTCATATACATTCAATACAGTCTTTTCACAACTGTGGGTACCTACCAAACATTTTCCATTTATTTTCCTCAAACTGGAATGACATACGACAAATTAATTATTTACAGTAAACTTAATTCATTATTAATGCAAAGTAATGCGTGCTGATCGTTTGATTCTGTTAGTAATTGTTGCTTAACCTTTTGTTAATCTTTGTAAACCTTAACTGCCGACGTTTTTGCATCATTGTGTGCTTCAGCTGCAGATACGATCCTCAAACCAGACTCCACATGGCGAGTCAAAAACACTATTTTATACATTTCTAATCATAATAGTGTTAATAACTCATCTCTACTAACTGATTTATTTTCTCTTTTCTCATGTTGACAGCACATAATATTAGACTAGATATTCTTCAAGACACTAGTGTTCAGCTTAAAGTGACATTTAAAGGCTTCACTAGGGTAATTAGGGAGGTTTTCAGTCACATGACCTGTGTGGAGTCCTGGTGGGCAAAAAAATAATGAGCCGTAATGGCGGCTACACTGGAATCTCCATAAAGACGCAACAACAACCGCTCGTATTTCAATCTGTTTCAAGCTATAAATATTTGGATCACATATCAACAGAACAGAACCAAGATATGATCACAAACTGTAAGTTATGGGCACTTGCGATCCATATACTGCATCCACATCCATTTTTTAATTAATTTTAAACCATCATGTCACTGTCAGAGCTACAGTTCTCACATCTAACATTACCTTGTGGATGTTCCTCAGCGATTTAATCATTAGTGATGACGATATAGCACACAAGTGTCTGCTTTTATATTTGGTGTCAGTTTCTTGTGCTTGGATTAATATTTCCTGGTAGGAGAAATCTGTTATTCATTTCTGCTATTTATACTTTAACGTTGCATTTGTATCTGTACTTAAATTGCACTTGACCAGCAAGTTAGAATAAGAACTGTATGAAAAGCATACTAATACACTGACAGTAGGATCATAATGGGTCAGTGACGCTAACATTCAGCACAAACCTATAAATTTCCCTTTTATGGCTGTTCTTTCCCTGAGTGATTCTGCTGAAGCACAGCTCAGGTGCGTCTCCTTCTCAGTTAGTAACGCTGCATCTTATTATTGCACAATAATTATCCAGCTTTTGGCTAAAAGAAGAGAAATTACTCTGCCTGTGAGTTAGTGGACAGCAGGAGATTTTAGCCCCTTTCACACATACAGACCTTTCCGGAAAATTACTGGCAATTTTTCGGAAAGGTTGTATGTGTGAACAGGTCCTTTTTGAAAATACCGGTAAATTCGTTCTGGCTATTTTCCGGAGAGAGAAGTTGTAACATTACCGGCAATTTGCCGGAATGCTGCGCTGTGTGAATGCAGAAGGAAGATTGCCGGAATAAGCGCGTGCACGTCTAGAACCTGCTGACGTGAGACGTCTACTTTAGCCAATCACAACAGTCAGACGCATTCACGTCCGTGCGGTTTATGAGAATAAAAGCCTTTGAATATTTTTCCAGACACATTCAGCTGCTAGAAGTTACTCAGATCACGTTTATATGTTCTTCTTAATGCCAACTCTGTAAATAATCATCGATGAGATGCTTATGATAAGCCGTTGTTTTCACCTTCAAGCTTTGCGTGTGCCTGTGAAACAGCCTGTGAGCGCCTGCACACGCACATATTATGAACATCTCGACATGCGAAAGTGATCCTGCGAAAGTTGTTCACAATATTGATCATCCACAGAGTCTGTAATTTAGTCAAATGTTTACAAACACAAGCGCAGCCGTTTAAAGCTCATTTGTGGTGAATGATGTCAGAATTTACCGGTATTTTGGAATGGATGTGTGAATGCTCTTTTCCGGAAAATTGCCGTAACGTCCTCGCCTGTGTGAACAGCGCTTTTTTCAATATACCGGTAAAGTCGTTCCGGAAATTTTCCAGATATTTACCGGTATCACTGTGTGAAAGGGGCTAATGTTTTGCCCTCTGGGGGCGTTCCCACAATGCTCTGACGTCACGTAAAAGCTATTAAGTGAAGTTTATTCATAAACTAATTTCGAGAGGATCACGTGCTTATGATTGACACGGCTGGCCCCGAGTCAAGCTAATGTACGAACCACCAATCAGACTATTACTAACCCAGTATAAATAACCAGACATCTTACCTTTAGTCATCTTCGTCTTGAAGAATCCCCCCTTCCACCCCTTCTCCTCCTCTTTTCTACAGGGCAGCACGGCGGCCCAGTGGCTAGCACTGCGGCGTCACAGCAAAAAATGCCTCCGACTCGGGTATCCACCCAACCGGACAGCATTTTCGTGTGGAGGTCATGTTCTCCCCGTGCTTGCGTGGGTTTTCCCCGGGTCCTCCGGTTTCCTCCCACACTCCCAAAAACATGAGACTTAAGTAAATTGACTAAACCAAATTAGAACCAAACTCAATTCTGTCAGCAACACATCACCTTAGCAATCCTTGCGCAGCAGGAGGAGGGGGGTTCTCGAGATCTACCCGAGCTCAAACTCCCCCCTCGCCCTGCAACGGGAGGGAGCTCCGGGCTCGAGGATCTTTTGAGCTGGGCGCTCTCTCCCGGGACAGCATGCCAAATTAGCTTATTACCAATCATCAGCTAAGTGTGAACTCTTGAATTCGGCAAGTCATTGTATAACAGTGGTATGTTCTGGAGACAATAGAAAAAAAACAATATTGCTTAAGAGGGCTAATAATATTGATCTTAAAATAGTTTAAAAATGGTTCTATTAAAATCTGCTTTTATTCTAGCCGAAATTAAACAAATAAGACTTTCTCCAGAAGAACAAACATTAGAGGAAACACTGAGCAATTCCTGAATGTGTTCAGCACCATTGTGAGTTCAGCTGTATGTGTATTTCTCTGTGTATTTAGGCTCAGGGTGAGAGCAGCGCTCTGCAGGACGGGTCTCTGGTGGATCTGTGTGGGGCGACGCTGCTGTGGCGAACAGCTGACGGGCTGCTGAAAGCGCCAACGCTGCGGCACCTGGACGCCCTGCGGCTGGAGCTGAACGCGGCGAGGCCTCAGTGTCCGGTGGGTTTGAGCACGCTGGCCTTTCCCAGCCTCCCTCGCAGCCACAGCCTGGAGGAGCGCCAGCCTTGGGCCTACCTGAGCTGCGGACACGTGCATGGCCGGCACGACTGGGGCCAGCGACCCGAGCGGCACAGAGAGCGCGAGGAGGGTTCCTGCGGCGGCACGGGCGGCCGCAGAGAGTGCCCGCTGTGCCGGACAGTCGGCCCCTATGTGCCGCTGTGGCTGGGCTGCGAGCCGGCGTTCTACATGGATGCTGGAGCTCCCACACACGCCTTCGCCTCCTGCGGACATGTGTGCTCCGAGAAGACGGTGCGGTACTGGGCGGAGACGCCACTGCCCCACGGCACACACGCCTTCAGGCCCACCTGCCCCTTCTGCTCCGCCCCGCTGGCGGGAACGCCCGGATATACACGCCTCATCTTCCAAGGGCCCATCGATTGATGAGGGGGCCACACGGGGAGACCAGAGGAGCCAGGAGTCTCTGTGTGAGTGTGTGTGCGTGCTTCTGTGTGCGTGTTGCTCCGCAAATTTGCCAATAATGCTGCTTTCAAGTCAGGAACAAAACTAGTGTTTTATATATACAGTGGTCAACATTTGGAGAGGAGCATTACCTTTGTCCTTTGTTTTGAAAAACTTATTTGATTCACATTTAATGTTGACTTAGAGTTGAAGATTTTTATTATTTTCTTTAAATGTTTAACATATTTTCATAGTACTTTCAATTAGATTTCTTTTAGTTTGCTTGGGGAAAACATATCCTTTTAAAAATAATATATACATATATATATATATATATATATATATATATATATATATATATATATATATATATATATATATAAAAAAAATATAAAAAAAAAAAAAAAAAAAAAAAAAAAAAAAAAAAAAAAAAAAAATAAAAAAAAAAAATAAAAAAAAAAAAAAAAATATATATATCTCTCTCTC